ATTATAATATATTTAATATAATCTAATAAATAAAATTTATAAAATTTGAGAATACTTTAAGTATGCGAAAGCATAAAACTTGAAAATTTTATATTTTGAATTACACGTTCATTTTACTTTATTCTTGATGTAAGTTTGATGAAGATTATTTTTGATATGTTTTAAATTTTCGTGAGGTCCATAAAAGTAATATTTCTTCAAGATAAGGTATACATGTACGTTCCTAAAAAATTATGGGTACTTTTAAGAATTTAATTTTTTACAATGACAAATTGTCCCTAGTATGAATAATATTCAACTCAAAATTTATAACGCTTAATAACTTCTTATTCTTAATTAGACTTTTATGTTAATCCATTGTGTCTCTTTCAAATTTATAAAAGAAAAAATCATGAAATAAAGTCACCGACCAAGTAATAAATTGTTAATTTATTGTATATATTATTTGTATTAAACCATTAGTACTACTCCAAGCAGGCAGTGATTCATTTAATTTCAAGTAAAAGTTTATCTGTAAACGATGTTCATAGTACTAAATTTAAAGATTTCTCCCTTTTAATTAAGGTTAATTAAAAATAAAACTCTTACCTCATTAAATCATTTCACGAGTTTAATTAATTTGGTATGAGTATATTGTATGAATAATTTTTAACCTACATTTTCTTTAAAATCTTAGAGATGATAAATCCATCATATATTGTAATTTACTTAAGTTGATAAGACCAAAAAATATATGAACTAGTTTACTAAAGATATGAATTATTTCTTCATTTGCAACACATTTTATGCTAATGAAAAATAAATTGCAATAAAAAAATAAAAATATTTTATTGATAAATAAATATGAGTACGGACTTATTTGTTCCTTGATTATTCTCTTTTTAAGATTTTTCTGTGATTTGAGAGTTATTGGTGACATATTTCTCGAATTTAGATAATTTAGATTTGATCTTCATAACTCAAAACTATTATTGAGATATTTTTCAAATTAAATTATTTTAACTATTCGTAAAACTACACGAATATATTGTTTATTTTAACAAATTAGCAAAGCTGTTCTCAAAATATTCATTATTTATAACAATAATCCAATATCTTTTAATTTTTCTTGTGTCTGTACGTTCTACATAATATTTAAGGCATGATATAATGATGAAAAAATCTCCGCCTAACTCTTTTGACAATAAGGGAGCAAAAATTTAATGAATTATAACACTATTGAATATCAACCACAAACATATAAGCGTATAAAATAGTATATTAAATTGTGAAATGTTTTAGATTGATATAGGTAAATCTAGGGTCATCAGTGTATAGTTTTGCTAGCTAGCAAAGAATATTTCTTTCTTAACAAAATAAAAAACAAGGACCACTATTTTATATTTATAATGTAGAGAATGTGATGGGTCAATCTTGCAATTTACATGAAAATCTCTTACTATATTGTTGAACCAACTATATTATATAAATAAATATATCATAAATGTAACCTAAACCCTTTAACCATGTGCAATTAACATATTGACAAGTTGAACACAACTTGAAGTAGGAAATTAGCATAGAATATACTTTCTTTTTTGTGTACGTGTGAGGTGGGGGGTGGGTAAGGAAGGTTTTTGTTGTTGTTTGGGGCATTGGTGGAGATATAATATTAGTTACGAGTTTGAATATCAAAATCAATCGATATATTCGAGTTTGTTAAGAATTGAATGTGCGTGCGCATATCTTATTCATATCCCGTAAAGGTTATAGAGACATTGTTTCTAGTAAACCTTCGACATAAAAATTCAAACAAATTTATTAATTTTGTTTAGACGCCTATAATAATGATGAATTCAAAATCATAAACTTTAGATTATGAGTTGAAGCGAAAAAATAATAAAAGAGATAAAAGGGTAAGAGAGAAGGGTGGGGGTGTCTAAGGATGTCATGTGCTTAAGGAGTTTAAATTATAAATTATTCTATTAACTTAAGTTTTTTTTAATGTTTTGCTTAGTATATTATATAGTGCAAGATGCTTTCAAACAAAATGTAGGATGCTAGAGATATACATGTTATTATAAAATGTTCTCAACTAGCTTAAAGCAATTCTTTTATTCTCCCACAAGGTCCTCTAGATTGAGAAATCATCACGTTATACAACTTTCATTCTTTGACCAACAATACCTTTAAAAGTATTAGTCAAAGACAAAACTAGCTAACATGTAGATTAAAAGGCAAAAAGGTCTCTTTAATTTACAATAAGAAATGTATTAAAATTGCTCAAGTCCTCATCATATCTTTTTTTTTTTTAAAAAAAAAATGACTAAAAGATAAGGGGCAAAAACAGAAGTATTTTATAGTTTATGTACCAAAATTACAATTTTCTCGAAATTTTGTCTAGTGAAATCAAGAGCTTAAATTTTATTTACCATTGTGTAATAACTTTTTAAATTATCAAAACAACAAAATGATATTTATTGGTAAATCTCCTTAAAATATGAAATTTGAAAAATTAATCAAACAAGTTACATGCTACAACAAATAAGGAGAATCTAGTAGTGTAGAGACTCCTTCTACATAAGACATACAATAACAATAACACAACAAACTATAAATATAGAAAGACTGTGTTTAATAGATTTTCTGTTCAAGAAAAACATTTAAATCGATAAAAAATTAATAATATAATATTAAAAAAAATCATATATTAAATGCTGTTTTAATATGTATAACAATAATAAATAATACGATAATCGAATATGATGAAGAATACTATATGCATTGTCATGCATTGTCAATGTAGATACTGTATAGATACATGGAGAATTTATAAGCATCAAAGTGGGCAAATCCAAAGTAAACTAAGCTACTCATTGAATAGAATACATTTTTGGTAATGCTTTTAAGAGTCTTATTCATTTAAACAATATTTTCATAACAGAGTTGCAATAAATTTTTACGTAAACTTTTTTCTAGCAAGTAGGTGATAGATTAATTATTTCAAGTATGAAAAAGATAGTCCATACGGTACAATTCTTAAATAACAAAGAAACAAAATACAAGACAATGTACTGATCATTGTGGCATAATGGTGAGATTATTCTAAATTTTAATTAGAGGTTTCGGATTAAAGTTTAAAAATATAGAGAAAATTTTATCGAGATTGTTACTCCCGTACGAACATTGCGGCGCAATAGTGGAACTGCTCCCAACATTAATCAGGGGTCTCGTGTTTGCGTCTGAGTATGGAGAAATTAGCGCTACCTAGATGAGTCATTATATGTGAATTGTGGTGCAGTGTCAGAATTATTCTAAATCTTAATCAGATGTCTCCGATTCAAATTCTATGTATGAAAAAAATCATGTCAGGTGCATCACCCTCAAAATAATCTTTGTAATTCATGATTTGAATTTAGTCAAAGATTCAATATGACTAACATTTATCGGATGAAAAGTAGAAACTAAAAATAAAATTAGGAGTATCAAAACTACTCTTCAACATGTAATTGACGGTTATTTATTAACATTACCAACAATTTGGAACATTTATTACTGTAGGAAATAATCTTTTTTTTTCTTTCAAAATGATTTATTGTATTTGGCCGTAAGTTGATTGCAATTTCAGTAACACACAATGAATTTGTTGAAATTCAGCTTATAATTAAATCAAAGTTGCAGTTTGAATCTTAAAAATGATTTTTTCCGATACATTATAACGAAAATACTAAAGTTTTATTGATAATTAAATTTAATATCAATAGTTACTTAACGAATATTTACAAAAATGTTAATTACTATTAAACATCTATCTTTATTTAGAATTGATTATAATTTTTAAACTTTAAAACACATAAACATAAAATTATAGATTCAATTTTTAAGAATCAATTAAAAAGAATATGAATTTGTTTATTTCATGTATTGTAATCATTACTTTTACATTTTTTTTACGTTAGATTTTGATTTTCGATGAAAAAACAAAAATGGGAAGAAGAAAACAAAAAAATAGAGAGAAGAAAAGGAGTAAAAAAAAACATGCCATCTTAATTTTCAAAATTATATTTGTTTTTATTAGGAAGATAATGGCCGTTTCTAACAAAATTATTTTTACTTTCCCAATAATTTTATCATATAGTGTGAGAGGGCACGCGTGGGGTGGGGGTAGAGTACGGGGGTGGGGGTGTGAGAGTAGGACAACAAAAGTATAAATATATAGATACATATAGATTTATATATATAGTGATGTCGTCACGTGGTTATGCATCTTTTAGTTCATGTAACCCACCACTTCATTAGCTTCTCGTTTTGCTCGTTTCAAAATAAGTGATATATTAAATTTAATTTAATAGTTGTATTTTTAATTTTTATAATATATAAATAAACACTTTAAATATTTAACATTTAAATGTATAAACACAATATAAATTTTATATGACACAATACATGTAAAACAAAAAATGATATGTAGGACATGTATGTTTATTTTTTCAATTTTATACAAATTTAAGTGTCTACTTGCGCAACTCAAAATTAAAGGTTATAAATATAATTTATAACCAAGTTAAATAACATATTTATATATTATGGCTTTTATTAAATTCTCATAAATATGAAACATGAAATATTTTTGCGAACTCGTACCTAATTAAGTGTGTAATGTCTTTTTAAAGTATTAAGTAGAAACAATTTGATTGATTTAATATAGGAAAAAAATATTGAGAACTAACTCAAGCACAATTTATTAACATAACTTTAATACACCCTCAATTTGCACGGTAAGAAAACTGTAAATTAGTATGAAAATTTAGAGAAAAATAAATTTTCATACTAATACCTATAAAAATCTTTATATAATTAATAATTTTTTTACACAAATAATAAATTATTACAAAAAGGTCACAAAACTCTTAATTAAACACTCATAATAATAATTTTTCAACTTAATATATGAAAAAACATTGGGAGGGTTTTATTATATAAGAAACCAAGACTAAATAATAAGAGTACTTTCTTCTTCTACATATTTACATGTAGTTCCTCTCTCTCTCCAATAATTTTTGTCTTTCACCAAAACAATTAGCAACTCCTAAAGGAGAAAACCAGTGTCTCTTTCTTTTTTAGAGGTAGTACTCCACTATATAGCTCTCCTTATTCTGCTATACAAATTCCCAACACTTGCCACAACTCCCCAAACACATTTCATATATAACTAAAACAACTAAAGAAAAACAAAAAACATGGTCCTTCTTCTTCTTCTTCTTCTTCCAACAACAAATCATCTTCTTTCTGTCTCTTTCTTTGATACTAAGTGACCCCTCTTCAATAAAAGGCTCATCTTTATTTTCTTGTTTTAATGGACTTTGGGGGTTTGGATAGTGGTGGGGGTGGGGTGATTTGTTCAGACAATACTACTATGTTTGTTGCCTCAGCTGAGACAAAGCAAAAATGGTATGGATCTGGTGGATTTAATAAACATGAAAGGTCCTCTGTTACTGAAGATGAGTGGAATAAGGAGAGTAAATTAGCCAAGACAAGTGATGATTTTTCATCTACTAAAGCTACCATGATGTTTCACCAGCTTCCAATTTCTCATGACAATCAGCAAATGCTTAGCTTTTCTGCACCCAACTCTCAAAATCATGTCACAATGCCTTATTATAATCAACACCCTTCAACTGCTTTTGCTAGAAACACTTCAGGTATACTATAAAGATGAAAAAGATCCTATCTTTATTGTCTTTGTGGGGTTTCTTGTTGTGTTATCAAGATTTGTTTTTGGGTGTTGGGAATGATTCTAAGTTGGTTTTGTTTTTTAAAAAAAAAAATTAACTGCTGGATTTTTGGTAGCAATGTGCTAGTGTTTGAATCTTGTCAAAACCAACCCCACAAATAAAAATAGAATAAAGATGGCATCTTTTTGTTACATGGTTTCTATATTTACCTATTATTGGTAATAAGTTTGTGGCGATGTTTGATTTTTCAAAGGCATAATCAGATGAAAAGCCATAAAGAGAGTTGAAGATATTTTCTTCTTTCATTGATGTGTTCCCTTTGGTATTAAAAATGTTGTGTACCCCCCTTAAATGTTGTAGACATAGCTTTAAGTTTGAGGTATTACTATAATGCATCTTTCAACAGTCCATTTTTCTTCTTTCACATTTGTTGAGCAGACAGAAGAGTTTAGTTTTTGTTATTAAAGATTTGATCTTTTCTTACTCAGGTTATGGTAGTGGAGCTTTGAATGCTGGAAATATGCATGGGTTAATAGCAGGAATTAAAGGGCCATTCACTCCATCACAGTGGATGGAGCTGGAACATCAGGCCTTGATCTACAAGTACATCACTGCAAATATTCCAATACCCCCTTATCTCCTCAATCCTATAAGAAAAGCTCTTGAATCTGCTGGTTTCTCAACTTTTGCAGGCCTTAGACCCAATGCTTGTAAGTCTTTGCTTTTCCTGCTTACAATCTTGTTATATTATAAAGATTGCAACTTTTCCCCATTTGTCCCTGAAATGTGAGATCTAGACAAAATATTAAAGACATGTGTACCTAAATTTGTTTAATCTATGTCCACTTGGGGGCAGAACCAGATTGGTGGAAAATTACATTGTTTATACGTAGTTAATTCTAATGTGAATATAGTAGATGTTGAACACTTTTGGCTTTTCCATGTGTTTGATTCTTCATGTTATGAACCCCTTTAGTGAAAATCCTAGAACAGTGGATGATCTGTGTCCTGGTTCTATTGGCAGTGGGATGGGGTGCTTTCCATCTAGGATTCTCCAATAGTAATGATCCAGAGCCAGGGAGGTGTAGGAGAACAGATGGTAAAAAATGGAGGTGCTCAAGAGATGCAGTTGCTGATCAAAAGTATTGCGAGCGACACATGAACAGGGGCCGCCATCGTTCAAGAAAGCCTGTGGAAGGACAAACTGGCAATTCTGCCTCCGGAAACAACACCGGTGTTACTACTACTTCCGCCAAGCTGACCAACATGCCATCTGCAGCATCTGCAGCTTTGGCTTCCGGAGGGGGCGCTGCAGCATCCAACAGTCTCAATCTCTCTCATCACAATCAACTCTCCAACTTGCAGCCTGCTGGAACTAATCTGTCCACAACATCCCCTTATCTTGAGAGGTACATTTTAGTAGTCTCCATCAAAGCTCAATTCAACATTAAACTGCAGTTTTTGACTAAATGATAGTTAGTAGTACGAATTAAGGATTTTCGGAGCCAACAGAGAGTATACGTTTGTTCTTTGATGCTTTATTTATTCCAAGTTCTAATTTCTATCTTCAATTGCAGGAGTTATACAGCCAAGGAAAATTTTGGTGAAAGGTATTCGGATACAAAAGGCTCTTCAGTTGTTTCAGCAAGTGTAAAAGAGCCTCAATATTCAATCCAGAAGGCGCAGAATCTGTATGGATTAACCTCCAGGGCCGAATTCGGATTAGTTTGTGCAGACTCTTTGATCAATCCCTTGAATAAAAATTCTTCGCTAGTTAACTGCCGTGGCTATGTCAATTCAGATGTCAGTGATCAAGAAAGTAAATCACAGCATCATCCTCTTCGACAATTCATGGACGAGTGGCCTAAAAACCAATCTGATCAATCAAATGTTTCATGGCCAGACATTGATTTGCAGTCAGATCCAACTCAGCTCTCCATTTCCATCCCATTAGTCACATCAGACTTCATGTCTTCGACTTCCTCTCCCGCGAATGACAAGCTCACGGCCTCACCACGTAGGTCTCGGGAGCATGAAGCAACTCAAATGGGACTAGGCATTGGTACCATCATCAGTGAACATAACCAAAGACAAGGAAGTTGGATTCCTATATCATGGGAATCTTCCTTGGGTGGACCTCTTGGTGAGGTCTTGCATAGCACTAATAGCAGCTCAGGCGATTGCAAGAACAAGTCAGCTCTTAATCTCCTGACTGAAGGATGGGATAGAAGCCCTCGGATGGGATCATCACCAACCGGAGTCTTGCAAAAGTCCTCCTTCGGTTCCCTCTCCAACAGCAGTGCAGGGAGCAGTCCTAGAGCAGAACACAGTAAGACAACGAACGAAGGCTCCAGTCTTTGTAATGGCCTTCTTGGAACAACTCTTATGAATCCAACCCTACCTGCCATGTAATATGTAAAACTAGGAACATGCTATTTTGCAACTCTTGAAGTGAGCTCTTTCCCTTTTTCCCCTTAATGCTCACACCCTTTGCCAAATCAAATATGTACTCAAGATATTAAATGACTTAAGTATTCCTGTTAAGATTTGTTCATTTGTTTACTTGTGTAACATTTTCAACCTTGTCTAAATAATTCTCTTAATCTAACATGTCTCTAAGAATTGTTCTATTTTTTGTTCAAAATCATCACTAATTGCTTAATGATTTTCAACAACTTAAGTTTTACAAACATGTGCAATTGTCTAGCTGATACACTTTATGTCAATAAAGTTTATTTGTATTCTTTCAAGTTGGTAGGAGGCATGTTGGTTGGTAAGTTGTTACAATTGATAAGATATAATCCAGCTTCATTTTGAACTTTTTAATTTTCAAAAAATTTCATTTTTTCTTAATTTAGTTTTCTTTTGCCTATTACAAACAAATGAAGATGTCCATTTGGTTGAGACAGAATCTTGAGTATTTATTTCATAGATGATACATCAATTTCAATCACTTTCTGTTGGACCAACTTATAGTTAATTCCAGCCTGGTTAGTATAAATTTTTCTTTACGTTTGAGTTTTTCTTTTATTGCTTTTGGTACTTGGTGGACCATGGTACGGCTTCTAAAATTGAATTTTGAGTGGGTTGCCTCCATGAATTATTATAATTAGTGCATTTGAAGTTTCATGCCTTTTTTATGATAGCCAAAGAAATGTTCCAGTAAAGATTGGTATTCTTGAAAGTCTAGATATTTAAGTCACTCAAACGCTCAAAATACATTTCTTTATCGTGATATCAGACTTATCTCAATCTCACCCGATGTTAAAATCCCACATTAAAGCTCATGCTATATTCGAATCGTCTTGACAATAGCGCTATGTTCTGCTACTCACAATGACAAAGTTCCAACTGAATAAAACATGTACACTTTACGTTTCAGCAATAACATTAAATACTAGAGAGGTACTTAGTATGTAGTTTTGTGATATAAACATCATTATTTTTCACTGTATTATCAAAAGACTTCATAACAGTTCAACATTGATAGGGCATTTCAATTTCACAGAAGGTTCAATAAATTTATTCAGCAATGATGATTTGAAACACTAGGAACAATCGTGCGCGATATCTCAGACGAAAAAAGATCTTGGTGAAAAAAGGATCATGGAGATCAAATTACTTCACTAGACCAAGTAAAAGATTGTTAAAAGGTGCATCTTCACCAGCAAAGTCTTTTGTCAAGACAACATCAACATCACAAACAGTTGACACAAAGTAGCAAGGAATCAAACTGACAATGAATATTAAGTTATTTAATAATGCCTTGGGGTAAACACAACTGAACTACTTCTTGATTAAAAAAAAGTGCAGCAATATGTCAATCACTGTCTGTTGGTAAGACTTACAGTGAGTTTCAAACAACAACAGTTGAAGAAAGGTCTCAAATAAAAGATAAGAGGTTCTGATTAGCTCGAATAGTCACCAAATGAACTATCCGGCAATGAAGAACAACTGTTCACCATTCCAAACCTAACTTCAGTCTCTGGAAAAGCGATATCAAAGAGCAATTATTCACCTTGGTAAGCTATCAAAACAAATGTCCCAATTGCCATGGAAACAACCTAGCAATGAACATTAAGTTATTTAATAATGTCTTGGGGTAAGACTCACTCAACTGCATCTTACTAAAAGTGCAGCAATAAGCACATCATGGTCTTTTAGCAAGGAAACATATGGTGAGTTTCAAGCAGGAAAATAAAGCGGTCTATTTGTCTAGAAAGAACCAAATTTCAATATAATCATGCATTTGTCTTGGGACGTATAGTAGTGTATTTATCTCTACCTCAGAGAAAGGGGAGAAAAAGAGTCGAAATAATGTTAGAGAGAGACAGATGAAAATGTAAGGTTTGATGTAGCTCAGATAGTCACCAAATGAACTACCAGGCAATGAAGAACAACTGTTCACTATTCGAGACATCCAACAGTCAGCACAAAAATGAATGTGGTAGACACCTGCATTGAGTCTGGGAAAGCTATGTGAAACTATTATTGACCTTTATCAGCTATTAAATAGATGTGCCGATTACCATGATATTAACTAATCCAGAATCATTGCATAACTTGGATGAAACAAGAAACCAGAGTTCCTAGATGCAATCCAAAAATTAATGCAAGTAGATGCATACTGACATAAACTAGTCCCAAAACTACCACACTCTTATTTCGGAAGAGTACACCAAATTAGGTTAGTAGGATTCGAACTCATTAAATGCAGTTTTTAAACTGTGATTGCATGGCCAGTGGATCGTCACACAAGAAAATTATGAAATTCAAATGCTAACTTTACCACATGAATGGACTATGGATTCACTGAATCAGCAAAATCTGATCTACACAAGAATGACAAATTCAAATGTTAACATTATCAAATGAATGGACTATGGAGTCACGCAAACAGCAAATTCTGATCTACACAAGAATGATGAATATTTTTTTCCTCATGTGACAATATAATAAAAAGTACAATCTACCAAGCCACTTTCATTTGCCCTGTCACAACTTAAGAAACCAGCTAACAACTAGACTTACACTAAAAACAGTGTCCAAGATCTCCCTCAACCAACACGTTTCTGACTTCTGAGCATCAGCAAATCTTAGATCACACAAGGGTGATTATTATAGATTACAGCTTAATATATAGATGTAATGCTATTCAATGCATCCAAGCATAATACCCAATGCTAGTACAATATACGCAGTGATGAAGCTATTCTTTCCCAAAATTTGGAATCACATGTGACAATTCTCATTGAAAGCAAGAGTTTAATCCCCCATATATTATATTGGGAGATGACAAAAACTACTCAAAACAACATGACAATGCAAAATCACAGTGATACTAAGAGCTGGTTCCTTCATCATTAATACATACTATTGTCAACATTTTAATGAAGTAAAAACTTGAATGTAGTAATAATTTTGGAACTAAAGTATGCAGAGAAGAGGAAAAAGGTTTCAAATTTTGGAAATTATGTACGTGATCTAAATATTAATAATTTATTAAAATTTAAAAACATAACCTATTATTGTAATTTAGCCAGATGAAGTTTGTAATTGACACTTTTTGGTGGTCCCCAGCATGCCCTTAATGCTGAAGAATACAACCTTACCAGTTTAAAAAAATAATTAGCCAGATGAGACTGAAATAATTATATTCAAATAAAGTCTATTAAGACAATCTTATATTTTTTTGTTCGAAAATGAAGTCTGTTAAGACAATCTTATACAATAGTTTCTTCATTTGCTATAATACTTAATGATAGAAGTTATAAGAGACTCTGATTCTCCTGTCAACTTTTTGGGTTATGGGCTCCTCAGCAAGATTTTCAGCCACACTAGATGAACATTAGTTACAAGCTATGTTGCTCGGCTCTGAAATAATGTCAGCGAGTGCGTCTCGGATTCACCAAAAATAGTGTATTTTTGGAGAATCCGACATGGGTACGGCATCAAAAGTGAAGAATCCGTGCAACTTAGGTTACAAGTATGTTATTAAGTTGTTTTTGTTGTGATAGATTTTACTACCTTGTATTGTAGTTTCTACTCAGCTAAAGTCTATACTAATTAAACTCCATGCATGTAACAAATTTTTCACAAAATAAAGAAACATGACATGAATAAAGGGAACCAAAATAGAAGGCGCTAAAAGAAAGAGGAAAAAAGAAACACACATTCAGATGCAAGGAAGGGCCATCGTAATTTTTGTCATCGCCAGCAAAGCAAGAAATGTTGTATAAAGTCCACCAAAATATACATGTAGAAACAACAGACTTCACAACTATGATAAAACAATGGAACCAACAACAGACTTCACAACTATGATAAAACAATGGAACCCATAAAACTTAAAGCAACCACATAGAGAATGCTAACTGAGGCAACACACGGGACATATTAACTTTGAAAGATTATATTACAGCTGTCTGAATCTGGGCAAATGAGTTAAGAAAAGAAAAAACACATCACACGCAAGAGTCATAAATAAAAAACAGAAGAAAACCTCCATTGATCAGTAAGAAAATTACTTTGTCATCATATTTACATTAAACCACAAAGCAGTCGGTTAGAATTGCCAGCATAGTAAGGGTTAGGTCACACTGCATTACCTCTTCACTCTGTTTGGTAGCAGCAGCATTGAAGCTTCCAGCAGAATAAAAGAATTGATATCTACAGTTCCCATCTAAATTGTATTCGGCACCTAATCAGACACGAGCATCTCTAACACTAACTTGACCGAGTTTCTCATTTATCCCAGCACCCAAAATTCCTCCATATCCATTAGTAGCCATGTTCATTACTCCGACACCACTATTAATGTAGGCGGGATAAAAACCTCCTGCATTGCCATAAGACAATGGACCTCCCCTAAAACCAGTCATTGTTGGGTTATTCCAAGGACCCCTAGGCACCAAAGAAGTGATACCATAACCAACTCCAGGGTATGCTCCGATAGGATAACCGCCTCCGAAAGTTCTAACTCCATAAGGATATTCTGCCACACCGCCATAACCCGAGATAGGCCCGGGACTATAAACATAACTAGGACTGTAAGATGGATACATACCCTGCTGATAAATGTTGTTATAGTTAGAGCCATTTCCATTACCTATTCTAGAATGATAACTATTACCACTATTGCTACTACCATCTTTTGGTATAGCCTTCTTGACCTCCACAAACTTGCCACTTAGTTCATGGAAAGGCTCCTGCATAACCTCCTCAACTGCATCCTCCGAATCAAAGGTAATAAAACCAAATCCCCTTGGCCTATGGGTAACATTGTCATGCATCACAACAACATCTGTAATATTACCAAACCTTTCAAAGTAACTCTTGAACTCTTCCTGATTTAGGCTAGCTGATAACCCCCCTACAAAAATCTTCTTGGTCCTAAACTGATCATTACTTCTACCATCAGTTCTACTATTTCTATTCAAACCTCCACTATTCAGTAGTTGATTTTGGTGTTGTTCACTCCTGGGTATTGCTTTTTTCACCTCTACCTAAAAACAACAACAACAGAATATACCATAAATCATAAATCAAATAAACATAAAAAAAAATTCACCTTTTATATAACAAAATAAGCATCAAATACACCCACACACTAAAAAGTTCAAATATTTGGTTTAAAAACCTTCTTTTCATAAAAAAAAAAATCAAATTGAACAGATTAGGAAAATGGGTCCTCAGAAAAACAAGAATTCAACACAAAATCAACAACTGTAGTTTGAAGACATACCATTCTTCCAAGAATTTCGTGGGTATCTTGTAGGGCTAAATCAACTGCAGACGGGTCAGTAAAGGAAACAAAAGCAAACCCTCTAGGTCTACCAGTTTCCCTGTCCTTAGCAATAACAGAGCTAACCACAGTTCCATACTTAGAAAAATGATCCTTTAGCATCTCATCACTCGTATCTCTCGGAATCCCACCACAAAAAAGCTTGCTTTTGTCCAAATCCTCCATACCCAGATGCAATGTTAGTGAAAAAAACCCCTGTCTTTGGTACTTTTACAGCAAAAAACAACAACCCCAAACTCGAAAAGGAGACCTATTGAATAGGAGGGTTTTGGGGAAAAGTTGAAAATTGGAATGAATATGGAATTATTTGGGCTCTTGTAAGTTTATTATGCTTTTTTCCCCATATTTTAGGAGTTTATGAGACAACAAAACCCTAATCGTGAGGTATCTGTTTTCTGCTCTAATTAACTGTTTTAAAAAAATAAAAATAGGAAAACGAAAAAGTAGGAAATTCGAAGAAATTGAGTTTTATTTACCTAATAATTAATTAAGGAGAAAAAAAGTTAGTTTAGTAGAGGTTTTTGGTGTGACTAATTAATAAATTAAAATTTAAAAAATAGATTGTGTACCAAGTTATTAATAGATAAGGACGAAAAAAGCCTATTCATTCTATCCTACTACAGTACTACTTAGAAAATAATTATCTTACTATATTTATATTTCCATCAACTTTATGTACTATATTAAATTAAATCTTGATTTAATTAGATTAGAGTTAAGAAAATTTCATGTAAAGACTATAGAAAAAAATTAGATTGGGGGTGTAGTAGTTGTTTCACTTAATGTATGGTGTACTTGTAAGCTGTCATGAACCTTTTATTATCGTTAGGACCTTCTATGTTTGTGCACGGATGGATATGAGTTATATATAAAAAAAAATAACGCGAGAAATTTAAAAAATATATAATAATTTTTTATTTAAAAATAAATTGATTTTTTTTTTAAATTAAAAAGATAAAAATATTAAAATAAAAAGTAATCTATTTATTTTACCATTCTGATCAAATTTTCTGGCCAAATTATTTTTTCCATGTAGTTATTTCCCATTTAAATATCAATTCATTAATGACAAGGATTTATTGGCAAAATAAAAGTAAGAACACCTCACCAAGTTTTAATTATGGAGGTCTAGGAGCATTATTTTATCAAAAACTTTAAAGTAACAAATGAAGGAGAAGCATCAGACAACTTACTCTATTTTTGTCGAAATAAAATTGATTTCTAATGAATCTAGGTAACATAAGGTCAAACAAAAAAAGATACATCACCATAGATACTTATCTAGTAATTCTTCGATAAGACCATTCCATATTCTCGTTAGAAATTAAAATTTATCAAGTTTAATAATTTGGTGCAACATGGACAAAGTAAAAGCTTGCTTTTAGAGTCTTGAGTCATAAAATGATGAATGTTGCAGAGATGAGGATGGTTGATTGAAGGATAAGTTTTATAGAGTAGTGGTTGTGTTCACAAGTCAACAACTCTCATGTTCAAAAGATGCAAGTTGTGGCGATAAGAATGTTGAGGTAGACATACTAGGAGTAATAAGATCATTAATGAGGGTATTCGTAATAAAGTGGAAGTGACTTTCATAATGAATAAGACGAGGGAAGCGAGACTAAAATAGTTTAGCATGTGAGGAGGAAATGTATAAACGAGAAGGTGTGTAAGATTAGTGATAGAGAGTTCAGACATATGTAGAGGAGATACGAAACATTAGTGATTGTGAATTTAGATATGTGAAGAGGAGGTGCAAAATGTCAATGATAAAGGGTTTAGACATGCGAGAATAAGGTAAGAAAGGTTAGTGATAGAATGTTTAGACATGTGAGGAAGTGGAAAAGGTTAGTGATGGACATGTGAAGAAGAGACGTATAAACACACCAGTGAGGAGGTGCGAAAAAGTTAAGTGATAGAGGGTATGACCCTAGATAAGGTTATAGGGCACATATTAGCATAGACAAATAACAGGCTTCATTACATCCAAGTCTCTCTACGACCATTTAGATAGTGTTTGTTATGATACAAGTTGTTGTTTATCTGTTATAATCATTGTATATTATTTAATCTATCCTTGTTTATGATGTTTAGACTACTACACGATTTATTGTTGTTTTGGCTCCCTCTATAGCAAACATTTGCTATATTCTCTTCATTTTTCTTCTTTATACCACCATTTCTCCACATATTTCATAAGGTGGGCTGTTGTTGTGGATTCAAAGCCCTTGTTGACCAGGCAAGTGCTGATATTGTTTGTTGAACTAAAAGCTTTGTTGTTTCCTTCCACGATTTGAATAAAAGTAGTAGCAGATGTAGCTGCTCCAGTGTACTCCAGACACAATGATACGATACGAAGGAGAAATACAAAAGAGCAACACACTTACTATTGCTTCAAGGGAACGAGTTGGTCAAAAATGGGATTATTTCTTGCCAACCAGATTAAGAAGCTTACAAATTGATTACAAGTCCACTCTACATATATATTCATAGACTTGCATTTCGAATGCTTAAGATCAAAGTTTTGAACTAAACGTTATGGGTAATAATAATAATGTAGTTCCCCAACGTCCAAATACACCAAAAAAAGGAGCAAAGGATAGCGAGAGGAACAATGCTTCTAGCTTCACTTGTAGAGTATCACACAACAAAGTGACACAAATTATAATTAAGCAAAGCATAGCCTTCACAAAAAAACTAAGGATACACAATGTTCATTCAAAATAATATATGATCTAAAACTTTACAAAAATAAAATGGAATTGGTGGAACAACTCAGTCCCTTAGATGTTCATTAAGAATTGCGATCATTTTCGCAAATCATTACAGGTCTGTAGAGCTCATCATCGTTAATCCACAACACAAAATAACCATTTGACAAAAAAAAAAGAAAAGATATGTGGTTGTTTGCTCATATTCTATGGGTGTAAAAGAGTCTATCATGCCATCGTATTCAGAACGAGGAATTGTTTATAATCATCACAAACAACCATTAATGTTCATAATTTAAACAATCGAAATACATCAACAGTCAATTAAACAATCAAGTAACTAATTGCTAACTAGAAGAAAGACAAAAAGTAGGTGGGTGCTCATATTCTATGGGTGTAAAAGAGTCTATCATGCCGTGGCAACAGCATTCAGAACGAGGAATTGTTTATAATCATCGCAAACCCAGCCTTTAATTTTTCAAAATTGATCATTCAAAATACCATCGACAGCCAATCAAACAATAAATAAATATCAGATAATAACAAAATCACTCAATCGGAAAAACGAACATTAGATATTTGCTTACAGAGTATGAGGCGCTTTATTGGGTCTTATAGAAGAAGAACAGTGCTGAACTTACGGCTTCACCCAAAAAACAAACAAACTGCAGAACCCTAAAAAACCCTTGAGATATTGGGCTTCAGTAGGCCCAGTAAGTAAGTTTATGTTCTTTTCCTTTTGGGCCTCCAATTCGAGAGGAATAGTTCAACTTGACCCATATTTACGTTTCAAGTTTTATAACACTTTTTGATTGTTATAGTAAACATAGAGATATATAACCTAATATACACCATGAAGAATATGTTTTAAGAAAATCTAATATAGTCAATTAAATATTTATGTAAATAAATTTACTACCTACATTCTATTCTATGTGATATAGTTTAGATTACGAGGAGTAAAATTAACTGAAGTTTTTATATTTACTCAAGTTTTAAAGATAAACTTACATTCCGTATTTTTATTATTTCATTATTTGAAAGTAATTTTATTTTTTATATGTGAAAGTGATTTTTAATTCTAATATTGATAAAGCTTATTATTTATTATTTGTTGTGAGGTAACTTGCATAATATAATAGTAATATATTTTTAAAAATTGTGATTCATTTTTCACTTGAAAGTTAAAATTTTAGAATTGATTTGCATCTCATATTAATGTTTATATCGTTACATTATTCATATTTGTAAAATCATATAAAAAAAAATTATTTTTTACCAAAATCATATTTTAAATTTTCTTAATCTACTAACATATTTTTAATAACTTCTTTTGCTATATTATAAATTAAAAATTTGAAGAATCATAATCCTTATAAAAACACATATAAATATTCTTGAAATAATATATTTTATATACTTATCAAATACTAAAAAGTAATATACCAAACACACCCAAAGAGTTGATCATTGTTTAAGTTAGAAAATTATAACACGCAGTTTGAAACTTCAAACATACAATAACTAATTAATAATTTGCGTGACTTTTAATGGCATTAGTCTAATTAGTTCGATATTTATTATAATATCTCAAATATGGCTTCATATGACCAAGTAAATCATATAGTATACAAGACATTGAGTCATTGAAAAGGACTAATTTGGACCAAGATCAAGGTTTGTTTAATAACTTAGATATATCTCAATTGAATATACTAGGTTATTATATAATTGTTTTTGTTGCTTTTATTGAATTTTCTTCATGTTCAAACAAGTAACTAAGCGTACATAGAAGGCGAATATTAGTCAATATACTTTTAATACGTTCAACATTCCATGATAGTGAACCATAAAAAAAGAAAAAATTTAAGTAACACCTTATTTTAATATAAATAATACAATTTATTCTCTTGCCTAAATTGGAATATTAACGGTCATAATTGTTTTAAATTCATTTTTATGTACGTTTGGGTTGGGGTGCCTTTTTTTCCCCAAGGTTTTAAAACAAATTTATTAAAAACTTGAGGATTTTTTTAGGGATATTAATTTTATGGTATCATTATATTTAGATATTAATTAAAAATATCAAATTTCCAAAGTTTCAAACATATATCACATTCCGAAAGTGACGAATAAATTATGAAAAATTGACAAAGCTTATAAATAAACAACTTTTTATATCCACCTCAAATACATTAATTAATGCCAAATTAGTCTTAAAAATATTTATGATACATAAATTATTGCACGTATATATATATATATATATATATATACCAAGTCAAGCTAGAATTTGCAAGTATTTTCGTCATGTTTCTTCTAACTTCTTCTATACTCAATAATTTTCTACACTTTTTGTTTTAATTATTTAATCATGACATAGACATGAATGATTCTATTTTAAAATACATTTTTTTCCATATATTCTGTTATAGTTAGATGTTTATCATACCATATATTGAGTCACTTTTTCCTTTTCACATTTTATTTGTGGAAATATTAGCAGTTAGAAAACATGTCGTACATGAAAAGTCCCTTTATAAATAACCATAAATGATTTTAAATTTTAATCTCTCTCTTATATATAATAATAATACACAAACAACACTTCAATTATTTCATAAGTCTTCATTTATTATCATCATGAGTACTAATATACCCTTTTCTTGGGAGAAAAAGCCAGGGGTAAGTAAAGTAATTACACCATCACAAAATTCACCAAAAGTACTACCACCACCACCATGTCCGGTGCCGGAAAAATCAAAGGTGGCACCACTCCACCACCTACAAGTTCCACTTCCACCGTGTACTTTCCACGCGCCGCCGCTATCGAGAAGTTTGTCTAGAAGGATTTTCAAGAAACATGATGGTGATCCATTCTATATGGCTCAAAAAGAGTGTACAAAGAGTTCAAGAAAAGGTAATAATATTTTTGGAGGGTTCATAAATAGTAAAGATGATTTTGGATTTGGGATGAATAAAAAGAAGAAAAACAATACTAAGTCAATATTTTCATGTAAGAATTCGTGTAGTGTGATGGAAGATAATATTAGTATTATTAAAGTGTCACATAATAATCAGCTTCCTATTTCAAGATCTTTAAGATCAGAAAAAGGGACTACTCCATAGTCCATACAATTTTTGAGACATGATTAGTTTCTTTATTTTTGTCCATTAATATTGTTCTCCTTGGGATTAAAATCTATTTATAATCGTGATGTCTGGATCAGTTTATAATTTATTTTTGAAGTTCAATTTGTCGTCGTAGTCCTTTTTATTTCTTCTTAGGTTGTATACTTCGTGGAATGAAATATTAGCCTAAATTTCCAGTTCTAGCTATAACCGAAATATGAATGTTAATTTGTTCCCAGAGTAACTTGTGAACCAAAAAGATATTTGGCAAATAAAAGGGCTAAAATAGTTAGATAAATTTAAAATTCATTGATGTCTACAAAGTTTTCGTGTGTATAACTAAAAAAAAATTGTCCAAGTGTTTCACTTGAATTACTATCAGAAATTCGTGGTAATTGAAGTGACATTATCTGGTCAAGTTCATCAATTGCAATGTTGACGTTCTTTAATTTATATTTTACTTGATGCTAATAAATACAAAGTCGTTTGCCAATAGCTACATATATAACTCTATCAAAGTAGCTAATTAGGATCGGACGTGGTCGAGTGACAAGTGATATAGAGTCGTTAGAAAACGTCTTGCCGACTTCTCAGCATAAATTCAAATTTAGTCAGACTCTAATGTGAATATCGAATATAAAATCAAAAAATTAGTAAGATCCAATTTATTTTTTTAAATGAATATGATGATCAATGAAAGTCTATTAATATTACGTCAAACATTAACAAACATGAAATTTTTCAAAACTTGTACGAGTTCAATTACAGAGTGGGCACAAAACGGCCTCAAATTCTTCTTTTGAGAAATTGTTTTATCCTATTCGATAACAACCGTATCGAAATTTTAGATCTTGATTGATAGAAATTTGAGATGATCCTTAGGATTCATTCTCCGGGGAAAATGGTATAAAATATCATATTATTAATTCAAATTAAACGTTATAGCCACAATTTTTTATTTGTAATTTGCAATTTACATTTGTACCATTCAATTTGTATACTAAATTATACAAATACAGGATCTATTTGTATATCAAAATAAATAAATACGGTACTTATTTGTATACTGAAATATGCAAATGCAAGACCCATTTGTATGCAGAAATGTACAAATGCAGGACCATTTGTATATCAAAATAAATAAATACGGTACTCATTTGTATACTGAAATATACAAATACAGGACCCATTTGTATGTAGAAATGTACAAATGCAGAACCATTTGTATACCGAAATATACAAATTAATATTCAAAGCAAACATAAAGTTATACTAAACCTAAAATTTACTTTAAAAAAATAACTTTTAATACTCATCTCAAATTAAAATATACGTCTAAGTTTTCAAAAATTATAAAAGCTAGTAAAAAACAACTTTATATACCCATTTTAAATTCTTCTTTTAAAAAATTATTTTATTCGATAATATACATTATTTTATTCGATAATAACCGTATCGAAATTTGAGGCCGTGATTAATAGAATTTGTTATGATTAGTAAGACCCGTTGATAAGAAGGGCTCCTAACAAACAATAAAAAGAAATGATACAAATACATTTCTTTTTCCAATATAAATCATTCCTTTAAAATAGAAAGCCTTTTCCTCATCAAAATAGGAGTTATCAACGCCAATTTCGATTTAAAAAAAACTATTTTTTCCAATTAAAGTGGGACTTTCCAACTAACTCGTATTATAATTAGGTTATAAAACCCTTTCCTTCTCAAAGTAGGTCTTTCCAACTCGAATTCAAATTATAATTTGCGTTTCTATATATATAAGGTCAATTTCATTTTCAAAGTAAGATTTTTCAACACGAACTCAGATTATAACTTTGAGTGTTTCGATATATACACGTCAATTATTCAAAGTCGATCATGAGTACTAACGAGATGATTCATTCCAAACCAAATGTCCCATTTTCTTGGGAGAAAAAGCCTGGGGTTAGTAAAGTAATTTCACCACCACCGTGCCCGGTACCGGAAAAATCAAAGGTTAGATCATTTCAAAACCTACAAATTCCACTTCCGCCGTGTGCTTTCAACGCGCCGCCGCTGTTGAGAAATTTATCTAAAAGAATTTTCAAGAAAAAAGATGATCCATTCTATATGGCTCAAATTGAATGCACAAAAAGCTCAAGAAAATGTA